CGTGGTCTGCCCGAAGCTGGCGAATGGCCCTAATCCTCCAAAGTAAGAGGCAGCGGTACTTGAGTTTTCCCGACTTGGGCATACAATTGGGCCACTTGGGCGGCATGGGCCAAGGCTGCGGCTTCCAAAGAGCATTTCAGCCCGACAGCGTTCGTGTTGTACCTCGGAGGGTGTCTGAGGCTGTTGGGCGATGCGACCCCGTTGCACTGACTAAAAACAATAGATGACCCTTCTGATCAACTGACAGGACATCAGACCTGGCTGATACCTGATTACTGAAACCCCGTTTTATGCCGACCCAGTGTTACCAAACAAATATCAAAAAATAAGCAATGAAGTCGGTTGTATTAGCAAATACAATTTTGCTTCATCGACACTTTCATCACAGAAATTCACATCTGCCCTGCGCCCCAAGGGCACTCATGGCGATGTAGCTTAATGGTCGAGCTGTGGCTCGAGTCCCGCTTGGGCGACACATGAGATCAGTTCAGGCGAGGTGGAAACGGCAGCCGACTCTATCCGAATTGAGAATTCCTTTGACGAAAGCAATGCTTTGTGAAATTCATACCATTGTGGAAAAATTTTGCTTCCAGTCCGTATACCAATCTAAACGAAATGGGATGTTGGAGGGACTTTCATCTTGTATGAAAGTGCATGAAAAAGAGATTCATATGTCGATCTCACCAGAAGAGACAAATGAATCCCATTGTATTGCAACCATTTGGCTTTCATACGACGTTCATGTTGACGCAGTCCACGATAACTCCTCCCTCGTTTCGAGTAAAAACGGTCTGAGCTTACGTGGACTGCGCCAAACTGAACGTCGTATGAAAGCCAAACGGCTGCGGTACTATGGGATTCATCCCTGCTCCTCTGGTGAGATCGACCTACGGATCTCTTCTTCATGCACTTTCATACGAAAGGAAAGTCCTCCAGAGACGGTATGTCAGAAGAATAATCGAAACCCAGTTGCTCTTCCTATCTGAAATAGGATGAATACACCTCATATATATGATCTACTGGTAGCCTCTAAAACTTACTTATAAGCGAAATTAACAAATATTAGCTTTTTTGGGGTGTGCTTGTCAACACAAGTTAGAGCACATCTGCTGGTACATTTCAGTTTCATGATTGATTCTTGGCAAAAACTGTTATGAAAAATGAATTAGTATGATTAATCTTTAAGTCTACTGCCTGATGATATTTTCTTTTATACTCAGTTCTTTCGACTTTTTATTGTATGCATCCAGTGAAGTTTACGTTTAAGTCAATCCGTCTACTCCCTCAGGGAGCGCTTTGTCAACACAAGCTCCTTCTTTTAGGATTTTTGGCCTAAGTATGGACACACTCACAGGAGGCGGCTTACAACATTCCGTCAGTGACTACTTGCATCCAGAGTATAAGTAGTATGCCGCTTTGAATAATTTCACCCCTCTTGACCACTAGTCTGGCAGGCATTGGCAGTTGCTTTCTGGATAAGTATGTTATGGAAACTTTCATTTTATATAAAAGTGCATGGTGAAGAGACTCTTAGGTCGATCTTACCTGAAGACGAGCAAATTTGTCCTATGTGGGATTCATAGTTGTCATAAAATAGATCGTCTGGCGTTGTGTGAAGCGATACCGTCGGAATTAGCTTTGCTTAAGCAATGTTAACATTGTCCCGGTTGTATTAAAATAGTGTGATAACAAAGATTCTTAAAGATTGCAACAGGGATTTGCGGTACCGAAAAGTCCCAAGTCCCGGCATACGGAAGCTTCTTTAATATGCATGAATTCGTATAACGATGCTTTTATGTTAAATTTCAAACAATATCTCTCCCAATGCAGTGATTAATCAAAATATTTTCCCCATTCCTTCTTCTCACCACCCCACCCTTACTCATCCTTTACTCCTCCTCCCTGTTGGCATCACTACGACATCTCAAACGTCTTCATGAAAATGCTCTCTCACACTTCAGCAATTTCGTGTCGAGTCAACACTTGGTCTGAGTGGTCGCCTTGCGACAAACAGTGCGGCCTCGGTTGGCAGCGTCGATCGAGGCAGGTTGTCCAGGAGGCGGAAAATGGAGGCGAAACTTGCCCAGTGCTGACGGAGAAGAAGGAGTGCCGCGGCGAGAACTGTCCAGGCCGACGGTTCGGCCGTTCTGACTACTCGGGTCTGACGTACTCCCAGAGGATTGAGGGTGAGAACCTACAATTTGGCATGTATACAAATTGCCCATATTCCCCTGTTGGAGTCTAGTTTGGTGGTATAAACACCTGCATACCGTTAACATGTGTGCATTTTCAACCCACCCTGATGAGACCTGAAAGAAATGCGAAGGATTTATTTACCTGGAAAGCACCAAAAGGCTGAAACTGGCTCGTTTATGCGCTTCGTCTGGGCTTTGTATGAACCCGAGAGGTACAGGAGACTGTGAAAAGTGTGCAGAAGAATTAGTTGGCGGCAAACAAGTCCTGTTTTGCCGACAGTACAAAAATCGGGATATGTGCGACAGTGAGAAAGGTCGGGAGCAGAAAGAAGCACCATTGTTGATTTTTTCGTTCTATTCCAGTGTGTGACCGTGCTC